AATAATTAATATATATATAATATTATGCAGCAGTTGCAAATTTTAGGAGCAGTCAAATCAATATTATGCCTATTTATCCATTAAGGGAACGTTGTACATATCACTTTGTATATTTTACATTGCTTTTGACTAAGCAAAGCGCATTTTAGTAAAGCACAATTTTGCACTTTGCATACAAAATACGTACAGCTCAGTTCACCTACGATGCAACTACGAGATATAATTGTCTAACGTGTGTTTAGAAGTGATTAACATGCAGCGCGTCACATCGTCTAATAAAATCTTAGTGTTAAACAATTATAAAGTTATGTTCAGAGCATGTGCATCATACTTGAACAAAGTTTTATTTCAGTGAACATACTGAAAGTCATAATAAAAATTCTCTTTATACATGTGTTGTTGTCTCAATATATATACACAATACACAATAATATATGGCAATTTATATATATTTTTTAATTATTCTACCTACAATATATATATATTAATCTGAATCTTGCAAAAGCATTCTTTTCCGAGATCTTGATATTTTCCGACTGATAATTTATTACGGTTCCGCGTGTCTTTAATCTTTATCCTAATTTTTTTCATTAATTGATATATTCTGCTCGATTAATATAATCTGCTAAACGGATTAGTTTTAAAGATAGTTTTTTTGTTAAAGAGTCAGTTTAAAAGAATCAAAAAATATCGAAAAAAGAGCAAATTAAGTATATTATGCTTTCATATTGTAGCCTCTCCTGCTATTTTCTGTTACTCTGCTTTGGAACATTGTCTAGTGATGTAGGCTAGCATTTTCTAAAGAATTATTTATTATAATACTCACGTCATTTCGTGCATTCTTTCTTTTTTTTTTTTGTTCTTGTCTCTATAAAGATGTAAAGGCTAGTGATACCTATCTACTTTGTGTATGCTAACTTATTCAAACTTTTCTTCTTTAAACGCGAGATCGATAGCTTGCCCGACATCCTTCACGATAAACGCCGGCTTACACAGGCCATCATCAACCGGCAAGAAATCCCTAGGGCTATGATCAGTTCTGAATTTGGAGTCTGGCTGATACACGCCGGTCTCGACTAAAATACTAATGCAGGCCTTTGCGTTGGGACACCTCATGTTCTTGCCAAGGAGTTTTTCCAAACTGCGGGACTTAGTACCTTCTCCGGACTCGTAACGGGATAAATATTTGTCGTATAAATTCGCGCCAAAGATGTCAGTATTGATGTTGTCACTGTAAAGAACCAAATGCGAATTGCTTTATCACGACATGTTATAAATTAAACATATCTGTGAATTTAATTTTTATCTTCAACACATACCCGATAGCATAAATCGTATCGACGTTCTCAATGCCAATGCTATCGGCGTGATTTACGAGCATTTGATTGGCATGATAATATGTAATCTCACTAGGTTTTCCGACTAGAGCAGCATATGTCATGTCTTTGCCTGTGACCTTCTTGTATAGATTTTCGAGGCATAATAAAAAAGCACCATGACCGTATCGGGGAATTGGCGCCTCCGATGCCCATAACAAATCCATATTGCACGCCAATATTGGAATGTGCGGATAAGGAATAGCAGTAGGCAATCCTATGGGCATCCCATTGGTAATTAGGAGGTCTACCATTAATTGCAACGACGTTTCCCAATTTATTGGTTCGCTCAGGAGCACGATCCCCTCAATTTGTGGAAAATTTGGATCAACTGGACCACAAATTGGATTTCTCTTCTTCATATTTATATAATCTAAGCATGGAAAATTCTTTACTAATTCCTCTATGGTTGTTGTCTTCTCGAAACCTAATTCTCGGGCTATATCCTTTATTGGACCTTGACCCGATAAGAGAACCTGTTTATTGTGAAGATAATCAAACATTTGCAATGGTGAATGTGCCAACACAACTTGAGATTCCGCGACTTCAAAACCTATCCATTTTGATAGATCTGCTGCTTTCTGCCTGCGCAGCGAATTTCCGCTGTTAGTGACGAACAGCGTGGGGATGCGAAATTTCCCATTTTCTCCTTGAAGCCGCTTGAAACACTCTTTTACTGGTGGCAATACTTGTTTTCCACGTACTATGACACCATCAATGTCAAAAATTAGACCAAATTTTGGCTTTGTACTTAAACGCTGTGCAAAAAAAAAAAAATAAATCTGTTATTTTTAATACTGTTTAACTATTTGTGCAAAATTCTTTAGATATAATACACGAAAGATACAGAGAATTTTATAATTATATTTATGATATCAAATTATTTATGATAAAACTTGTTTATGATAATAATTCACCAATTTTATCGTCACTTATATTAGGTACATTATAAAGGAGGTTGTTCTAAGTAAATTCCCGCAAAAATCAAATGGGAAACAGCATTGGTTTAGGAGATATAAGAAATTAAAGTTTGACAATAAAGTTTGTGTATGTCGTAATAATCTGTTATTTTTTACCGAGAAAATTTGTTTACAACTTTTATATATGAGCGAGAAATAGGTGTGAAACCAATTGTTCACAAAATGTTTATGATCATGTTATAGCTATTATTTAAATAAAGTAAAAAAAACCTTTTTCTAAGACAACAAATAGATTAGTATGGCATACACAAACTTCGCTGTTCCTAATATCAGTTCATAATACCTAAGAAAAAGAATTAAAATTGTCAAACTTTAATTTTTTATATCTCCTAAACCAATGCCATCCCCCACTTGGTTTCCACAGGGAATTACTTAGAACAACTTCTCCTACAACATATCTATGTGACGATAAAATCAATGAGATGATATTATGTATATTTACTATTATTTATATTTATATCTCTTGAACTGGCATGAGTACAGATGCAAAAATATTTTTAATTTAAAGATGCAATAAAAAGATCAGTTTCGTCATAGAAGAAATACAGTGTTAGAACTTTATAATATTTATGTAAAGAAAGAATGAACCAAAAGATATTTTTGTACATTGTTATTTGTCCATATTTGTCTATAATAAGTAAAAAAAAAAAAAAAAATGATGACAATAGAGTTTGCAAATAGGAAAAAAAAAAAAACAAAACCTCTAATGAATATTTTAAAAGTGTGTTACGCCTCCATGATTATATGCATTGCATATATAAAACTAAAAATAACAATGACAAAGTTATGAAACTCCCCCGAAGTATTATGTAAAAGGCGCATAATATAATAACGTGCTATAATAATGATAACATATACAGATGATCGGAATAAATAAAGAGAAAAGAGCAGGAGGTCATAAACAAAGGGAGAGCTTGTCAAAAAATAAATCGTCATCGTCGAATGACAGTTGGAGATGTAAAAGAAGAAATGGTGAAAAGTCCTACTTACTCTGACTCCAGTGAACCTCGTCCCGACGTCCAACCGCAGCAAGATATTGGCGATCGCCATGTTCTTATTTTTATTTAATTGAACCAACGGCGAGGCGACAACTTGCGCGTGATTCAGTCACGACCTCAAAACGCTCGCGAGCCGCCTGTCGCGGCTCGATTATACATAATGATGCGTTTTGAGGTTATATTGACCCCGCCGCACACATCTCATCGTACTTGTTCGCACGTGCCGTAAGAGAACACAAGACACAACGCATGGACGCATGCACACTGACACAGGGAAGAGGGAAGTCTAGAGAAATCATCGCGAAGCGATTCTGTACCCATAGACTAGAAAATATATGGTAGCAATGGCGGTGCGTTAAAAAATCTTACCTGTGGGATAGAGAAGCTTCCAATTGACCAATCAGGGCTAAGAAATCTGTTGTCCTGATTGGTCAATTAAACGCTACTTTACCTTACGTGTAGGATTTTCGAACGCACCTGACAGGTGGAGTCTAGAGTTTTGATATGTAAGGAGGTAAGGACTTGAGTTGAAAAGCCATTTGACTTCCGTTTATACGATAGGAACGTCCACATTGACACGGTACTGTACGTTCGCCGATCGGCAATTACGCCAAAATGTTTATCAAGCCATTCAAAATCAAGTCTAATTATCAGCTGAAAGGAACTGAAAGGTTTGTGGAATTTTTCGATTGGTTCCATAGTCTTTAATATGTGTTTAATTTTTTATAATACATCCTGTGTGTCTATCAGATCGTGTACCATAACAAATATATTTTTTCATAGAATTTTAAATATTTTATATAAATAACGAAAAATAACAGAAGATTAACGAGATTAATTGTAATATTTTTAATTTAATGCGTTTAATATATATATTTATATTTCAATATGTTTGGCTATAGTATATTCAAATACGCTAAATGAATAAAATATAATTATTGTCATATCTGTTCTAGAAAAAAATTATGCGAGGAGGTATTGGCGGTATATCCGAGCTTGTTGGAAGATATTCAATCGCTGTTGCCTAAAAAGGAATCCATCAGCCTTATGAAAATAGTAACACATAGTGGACAGATAGGCAGAATATACTGCGTCGCTAAGATACCCATGTTTTTTCAATTAGATTCATATAATCTGTTATTTCCCACGATTTATACGTTATGGCACCATCCATATTTAATAAACACTTTTACTATGCATTCAGCAATTTTATCCAAATTAGCGGGTGGTGCAGATCTCATGTTACCTGGACTGGTTCTCAAGGAGCCAATAACATTGTATACTTTTGGTAAATTACCAAAAGGTTCTCCAGTATCGATTAACACTGAAGAAAACAAGGTTTGGATTTTTATTTTCTTGCCAATTAATCAAATATCAAAATATTGATAATCTTTGTGCAGGCCACAGTTGCTGTAGGTATCACTGCGCTTTCCGGTGAAGATATGTATATGGCTGCTGGACATGGGAAATGCGTAGAAGTTTTTCATGTTATTGGGGATATGCTTTGTCAATTAGGCAAGCCACCTCTAAAGCCTGATTTGGGACCACCAAACGACAATCTCACGAGTATATCAGGAAATGCCGAATCGAATAATCAACAGACAATCGTGGATCAAACCGAAATACTGCCGGTTAAATTGGAGCAGCTTGATATCGGCGAGGACTCAAAGGATGTCACTGAAGATGAAACTATTTCTAAGGTAAATATGTCGGCGATTTTCTTGACGTAAAGAGATGAAAATAAAATAGTTGCTTTTATTATATTTAGGAATATTTGGAAGAAACAGAAAACATAGAAATGGAAAATGTACAAAGTTCACATACAATCGAATCGGAAGTAGTAGATCCAGTTCAAGAGATGGATCAATTACTGGAATATTGCTTCTTGAAAGCGTGCAAAACAACGGTAAAGTCTAGCGAGCTGCCAATGCTGTCGTCCAATTTCTTTAAAAATCATTTATTGGTTGCCTGTCCGCCGGGTAAAAATGTCGATGTGAGAAAATCTCGATACAAAAAATTATCGATTTTTCTGGCGGAAATGAAAGCCAAAGGAATAATCAATACATCTATCACGAAAGGTGTCGAGAGCTTGTTGTCGATCAAGGTGATACTCATATCTCATGTTTCTTTATAATCGAAAAGTTATTTCAAAGTCATCTTAAATCCATATTTTTAAATCATAAAGATTTTATCACATATGTTGAAAAACTTTCTATATTTTTAGAAATAGTCTTTTGATTAATATGTTTGATTAGAATAGCGTGAAATTGTAATAGGTTCCATTCTTTCAATCTTCAGTTCGATCATCCGCTTGTGAAGCAATTGATCGTTAACGAAGAACCGGTTGTGGCCGAACCAGTGGTTTCGAATAGCGCCGTCGTATCGGAATGTTATAGAGTGACCGCCGACGTTCTGCCAATTCTGTCGAAATTTGGCTACGAGTAAGTACGATGGATATGCTACTTGCCGAGTAATGTCATCTTACATTTGCGATGCAGTGTAATTGTTGAAGAGATAATTTTCTGTGTTAACAAGTCGCTGAAATTGTTAAATCATCATATATCTGTATACATAAACATGTGTTCCCTTTACACCGAATGTATAGAATCAATGTTGATTGCAGAAAGGGCGATGTGATGAAAAGAGCTGACATCAGAAAATGTTTTATCGAATATGTGAAAGTGGAGGATCTGCAGAACGGAAAGTAAGACGACGATGCTTCACTTGCATAAGCTTGATCTCGCTTCTTCTTACGCTGATGTGACGTCTTTGGATTTGTAGAACGTTAAAGCTGAATCCGCAACTAGCAGGTATCATGCGAACCAAGGCTCATCAGGAGACAGTGACGATGGAGGATGGAATAAATAAGTTCATCGGACGTATGACGCACATGCACGAGGTCACTCTAGCGGGGAATACTTTGTTGCACACGGGAAAACTGGAACCGATCGACATGAGGGTGACGGTGCGATCAGGCGGGAAAAAGGTAAAAGCAACAACTTAAGATGTGGAAATTATTCGCTTTTCTGACAGCATCGTATAAATCATAGGTGACATTGGTAAACAATCTGGAAACATTTGGAATCAATTTGAAAGAATTCAGTAAAGAATGCCAGAACATTGGAGCGAGCGCGACAATTATCGATGATCCTGGCAAAAAGACGCCTAGTGTTCTTGTTCAGGGAAACCAAATTTTATATGTATACAAATTACTCACAGGTGAGTCGCTTCGATTTTAATCTCTAATATCTTATAGTTTTGCAAACAAAATATGTAAATTTCTCATTTGTTATTTGCAGAGAAATATCAAATTAAAAAGAATTATATAAGAGGTTTAGAATTCGCTCCAAAAAAGAAAAAATAATATCTTTGTTTAAATAAAAAATACTCTTATAACTTTTGTAAATATAAATCAGGCTGTTCTCTTTTTTAATGTTTCGCGCAGAGATGACAAACGCGTGATACTCGTGCTCTTTATGTTTACAATTGTTCAATGATCAATAAGTTATTCTTGATTTTTTGACCGAGATTTTCTCATAAATATGAATATTTAATTTTGATGAAATAATTTTAATCAAAGCTTACAGAAAGTCGTTGCCACTATAATATATCGCGGAAACATTTTCTAAGAAATATTAAGGCAATTAGAGACTTGACGATATTTATCGTTCTAACAGAAAGACGCACGTTATAATAAGTAATTATTAAATAAAAGAAACTTGCAGATAGTACGAGTTCTCTCTCTTGTTATTAGCATATTATTCCGACCTTACCATTTCCTGTCATAATATAAAGCAAAAAGAAAAGAGAAAATACCGATGTGCCGAAGAATAGGTAACGGTTCGTGCGAGAGATGACAGGCGATCGATGTTTGTTAATATAATTTATTATATATCGAGGTTTCAACATGGAAAAGTACAAATATTGCAATATAGGGAGGGCCCGCGAGCTCTCCTCGGGTGGGAGGGAGGGAAAGGGGGGAGGGAGGGAAGGCAGGAAAGGGTTTCGATTGCACAGAAGGGAGAGGCGACGCACGTAAAAGGGATGTTCCTTGCGGGATACGGGGATGTTGCGTTCGGATAAAAACCGAGAGCGAACCGCGTATACGTGTATAATGTATATATAATGTATATGTATATATAATCATATTTTTCACATATATATTTATATATCTTTATATCGCATTTTTTTTACTTTTGCCTTAAATTTATCTCTTTTTTTTTTTCTTCTCGAGGCGCGACGGGATGCCCGACGGACGTCGCGGAAAGCGTGAGGGCGTCCGTCGGGTTTCTTTCTTTTTTTTTTTTTCTTTTCTTTCGCTTGGATAAAAGGAAGGTTCCCTCCTCTCCACGGCCCCCGCATATATTTAATACTCGTTTTGTTCTTCATTTTTTCTCTTTTTTTTTTCTTCTTTTTTTCTACCCGTACGCACAGGCGCGTCACGAAGGGTCGCGACGCGCGCGTGCGTGTTTCGTGACAGTAATTACTTTTTTTTTTCCCCTCGCCTTTCTCTCTTCCTCTTTCTTCCTCTCACTATCATAATCTCCATCGTTAGCCTTATCATTATCGTGGCCTTGCGCCTTCTCTTAACTAACTGCCTCGCAGACGTACGATCGATCGAGACATAGCGATCTATCTCGCGGATTGTCGTGCGCGTTTCGCCGAAGCCATGGATCATCATCACGTCATCGCAATGATATAGACAGTATATAGAGAAAACTTTCTTCGGAAATACGAATTATAAGAGAAAATCGTCATCATACGACTTACGAGTTTTCTCTCGATTTAATTACTTATTTTGCGATATTTAACAATGATGACAATGTCCCTTTCAATTCGTACCATTCGCGATTGAATCAATCCTGTGCCGACTTCTGAATGATATCTTATCATCAATTATATTTTAATCGCAGTGCTTTATAATTGATGCGACAGTAATGATTAACGGATTCGACGAACGGCGCACGGAAAAATTCGTCTAAACGTCGATTAAGCCTAAAACGCGCGCGCATTTTACTCGTGGACCAGATTATATCATCAGTCTTCTCGTTTAAAGCATCGAACGATACGGACTTATCCGATCGCTCTGTTCTCCTCGCGCGATTCTCGCGCCGATCAACAAGAATCGCGGATTCGGATCCGCGAGAATCGCAGTGAAGGCTCGATATTAATTCCCTAATCCGAACGCTATGATTCGATCGTCATCGATATTACTCAGGCAATCTCTCCTCTACGTCTGCGGAGGAAATCCTCATACTCGCCCTTTCTCTCTCTCTCTCTCTCTCTCTCACGCATTTCTATCACGTTTTCTTTTTTCTCTCTCTTTCATTTCACCTCGCATTCTCTCATGGGAACATATTGTACTACTTGCCGTTGTTGCCATAGTAAATCATCATCTCCGAATCAACTCGCCTAAGTTCATCATTACTATAATTTCTCTTTCTCTCTTTTGTTCTCTTTCACTCACTCATTCTTTCTCTCTCTCTCTCTCTCTCTCTCTCTCTCGTTTTCTTGCTCGCTCGGTCTCATTTGCCTTCTGAATTTTCGTAATTTTTTTTTTTTTCTTTATGCAACACATAATGCGACTAGGTAGTACAGGTTAATTAATAATTAATATCGTGTTAGTTATACAATAATAACGTATGACTAGACAATGCAAGATAATAATTATATCGTAAATATAGTAATAATAATATTATGTGGATCGCAATTTATATCAACAATGTGGTGGCGCGCACGTGTTTCGAAGAATGGTAACGTCTAATTACCGTTTTCTGTGTATGTATCTGCCTTTGTGTGTGCGTGTTGCCGTGTGCGTGACTATTTCCTTCCCGTTTCCTATATACGAAATCTAATGTATGTGATGTGATGTATATATGTGTGTGTTTCTTTTTCCCTCGAGTATCAATCATGTGGTCCATTGTTCTGTTTTCCGCGCGTTACATCGTGAATGTGGGATTGAAAGAAGAGGGGGTTGAAATTAGAGCAACAAGTCCGCAAAAAGATTCCACAAAGCGAGTTTCGAATAAGTGGAAGCGAACGATTTTCGAATTCGAAAACCGCGGTTAACTCGTCGTAAACAGGATCCTTCTCTTTCGTCCTGCTCTCACGATGCGACACGTGGTTTAGTTTATATGTACATGTCTTCATGTGGGTGGAAGCTTTCTGCGCGTTTATAGTTAACGTCGATATTCCCGATTAACTTCTTAAAAAGTATGCGAATAAATGCGTCTATCGCGCGATACGTGCGATTTCCGTCGAGAGAAACATTAATAAACTGTCGGGTAAAATGCACGTTTAATCCTTCCGCGCGATCCTACGTTGTACATCTCTACAGAAATAATTAAATCATTATATATCCCGGTGAGAGAGATAAATGAATTACAGTTTCAATTGCGCGCGACGCAACATCCCGCGGATATTCAACGCTCGTTGATCGTTAAATGATCGTCGCGAGGTATCTCGTTGCGCGCCCCAATTATCTCGCAGGATAATAAGATATACGCAATGATTTAATAATGATATACGAGTCGCATAATGTCGCTCCGTTTACTAATAATATAATACGTAATAGCGTGACAATAATAATAGCAATAATAAGAACGATAATAACACCAATATGTAAGTGTGTATACAAAGTTCTGTCGAAGATACAATAAGGTAAATATCCCTATCTCTCTTTCTCTCTCTCTGTCATCACAATCTCAATTTCAATTACTCGGTTTTTCTATACATTGCTATACGTAATGGGAAAGCTGTTTTCACGATTGCACAGGTGAACTGAGATCCTCGAAGGTGTAATGAGGGAAAAAGATTCGGGGCTTTTTCGCGATCCGGAAGGTCCCGAAAATCTACTCCTCGAGAGATTAAAAAATCTGAAGAGAAACTCTCTTGTTCTCATCGTTGAATGTTATGCGGTTTCGCGATGTCGACGCCCGTCGATGAATTTTACGGGAAATCATCGACGGACATCAATCTGTTCAAAGCTGAATTCAGGGTGCGGTTTTGGAATCCAAAAATCATGAATAAAAGAAATCGACTGAAAGGATCTTTAGAAAAGGCGAGACTCTTCCGTAATATCCTCCTCTATCTTATCGCGAGATGTTCCACCAAGTGACTCAACACGTCCGCAGACGTATCGTTGTTTATCGTTTTTTTTTAATTATATATACAATATATATATACAAATAAAATATACAGTATATGTATATGTGTATATATATAAAATATACTAGTTGTGTAAAGAGTCCCCGCGATGGCGCCCACGGAAATTTCGTTTAACCCATATTAATCCGATCTTGTCGCGTGACGTTATTAAATTAATTATTTCAATTTATTATTATAATTAATCTAGATATCTCCAGATTATTAAGGGTTAAGCTCTCCGCTAAGTTTACAGTACTTTGAATCTTGTTCGATGATTAATCTTCACGAAGAGACACTGGCGGTTTTATCAACAAGTTGAAAATACCGCATCGCCGACGTTACGAACTATAGAATTAACAATGTAAAATGCTTCTTTTAGTCTGCGCGACAATCTCTTGCACAATATACAGAAGCATACTTTTAATATCTTCCTTTTGTTGAGCTATGATGTTGCAAAGCTATTTGCAGTAGTAAAATCGAGATACGGTCAGACATATTTGATGAGCCGTTCGTTTCCGTCCCGATTAAATCAAATCGATCCCTCGTTCGTTTACTTCGTGCGAGGCCTAAGGAGTAAAAACCTATTTTCGAGAGTCAATCTTGGTCGTTAACGTGTGTTTTATCTTTATTTTCCGATTATCAAAAATTTCTCATTCTCCTCATGCATCATTACTCACTAAATAACTTCATCAATCACACGTAACATCGACTTTTTCGACAATTATATCGATACTTATCGCGACAGTTACCGTTTCAAAATTGATATCGAATCAATGGAACAATTCCCTTTAATTATCCTAATCCTTATTCTCTTCATCCTCGGTTCGTTTATTATAATCATTACGCTTTTTTTCTTTTTTCTTTTTTTTTTTGATCATTAAATCACCCGTTAAATCGAATATCGCAAAATTGGAAATGCTTAGGTCTTCGCGATACTATCGCTATTATTATCACTTGGAGTTTTTATACAGTCCTTAGTGCGAATCGTCCGATTAGTTTGGAAGCATCAAGAATTCACGCAAAATCAATCCCCCCTTCCCCCACCCCTAAGATATAATCTCTCCCCTTTCTTATCCCCATGGTCCAAAGCATCGATTGATATTAATCAATTCACATATCCACGTGCAAATAATTTCTCTTTTAGTGACGAAACGAAATGTTTCGTATTTTAAAATGTAAGATTATATGTATGCAATTAAATTAAAATTAAATTAGAGGTTTAGCGATAAAATTTATAATTTTTTATCAAATTAATTTTTTTATGATTTTAATAGATCTTGAATTAAAGACAATTGGTATAAGTGATCGATTTTCGTAATTAATTTTAAAAGAAAAAAATTAATTTTTTAAGAAAAATGATCTCATAATTGAATGGAAAGATAGAATTTTACAATAATCTTGTATAACGTTTACAGCATAATTCAGAATAGATTAAATCCTATCGATATTTGAACAAAGACCCTCCACGTTAGCCGATCGATATCCTTGTTCATTTTGTTTGCTCACTCGCGTTGTCCCTTTTCACGTTAACGATATTATGCATGTCGCATAATATCTAACATTATCGTTATCCCTATTATAAT